CAATCTAGGCAGGTGATATCCAGTATGGACTAGTTTTGCGGACTCGTTTTAAAGCGGAAATTTGACGATTTAAAGTTTAGCTTGAGGCGGAAATTCTTGCCTCATCATTACGTTATCTAATCTTAGAGAGTCAACAGACTAATTGTTTCTTTCATCACGTCTCCCACTGGCGTTAAAGAAAGAAGTCTCTGACCTGCATCACACCCAGGTGTTTAAGCTTCTAAGTAAGAAATACAAATCTCTTTTGAAGTAAATACCACAAAAAAAAAGATGGCGATACTTGGTAGCTTAGAATTTAGCAGTCTTTAAGCTGCAAAATAACCGCGCTGAAAATTAATTGAAGTTCACAGTGTAAGAGAGTGAAAAAGAGCACATGGGGGCGAATGGATGAATGGAGGTCAAGCGCATCTTCTGAAATAACACATATCTGTCTCCGTCTTAATTTAGTGGTCTGATATCTGTTTCTTATGTAAACAAGTAAACCTTGCATAAGCCATCGCCCTTTTGACAATTGAAAGTTTTCAAAGAGCCAATCAAACGAAAGTTCTGTATCTCATTAAATATAATATGATCAAAATAGCAATTCATTAATTCGGAGAAATCAGTCTTCAAACGAAAGTTACAGAAAAACTAAAAATGTCTCTGGATAAACTATTAGATTATTTGGAGCCAAAAACTTTTGGCAAAATTCACTATGTAGTAGTGGTTTTTTGGATCCTGATTGGTGTCATCCCCCTTGTTATATTCGCCGAAATGGAAAACAGCGAACCAAGGTTTGATTTCCGCTGTGACGCAGCGAAAAGTAAAAACATCGACTTCGTCCGGGGAAAATGTTACGAGAAATACCAGGAGCGGTACAACAAATTCGCTTTGCCTGTGTACGGCTTCGTAATCATAAATTTCGTCCTCATTATATTTGTATGTGTTATCTACTCCCGAATGGTAAGACCTACAGTCAATCGACTGTCGCGAAGCATTCGCAACGGTGATCCAGAGAGACAGTCGCAAGATCAAGAGAGCGCATTATCAACGGGAAAGAAGCTTTTTATCGCTTACTGCTGTCAACTATCCACAAGACTTGTTTTAGGAGTTGTTTTCATCATCCTACAAACTCAGTTGCTTTATCCTTCAAAGTTTTCCTCTAAGTTTCACTGTTACTTAACCGATGGAACCACTCAGCCAAGGAATTCATCTAACAACGCCCAACACTCTACTTTGCACGACTGTCACAATCAACGAGCGGCAAAGAAAACCTTCTGGATGGACTTTGTCCTTGTGTTAAATGGAATTTTCGTCGTTAGTATTCTGATTGAAATCGTCTACATTTTTTTTAAGGCATGCAAAGAAAGGGATTTCATGCAAAACTCAAAGTTTCAAGCATCTCATCTAAATCCTCCCGAAGAATCTCGGCAGCAAGAAGAAAGAACACAACTTGTAACAAACAACCCACATGAACCTCAGCGGCAAGAACGGACAGAAACAAACATCTCACAAGAAGACCATGATACGAACATCCCACATCTGCCAAGCGGGCCTGAACAACTCGTAAAATCACCGCTTCAGGAATTCATCCAGAATACAAAGAAAATGATCATGGACGACACTTATCAACCTGCACAACTCAGGTCGCTTTTTCCAAGTCCTCCTGGCAAAGGACACCCACCTAAACATTTGACTCTGGATCAGATTTACACAAACCTTGTTGTTGTACCTAACATGGCTGATTATGACTTTACTGAAGACAGACGGAAGAATTTGCAAATCTACGCCAGGTCGGGTGAGAAAAACGAAACACCGAGAGGGCCAGAGGACATTCTTAATCATGAAAACAAACACATTTTGATCTTCGGTCGTCCCGGAATCGGAAAGACTCTTTGTTGTCTAAAAATTCTCAGAGACTGGGCATCTAACGAAGAATTCGATCAAGCAGCCGATAACAAAATCCACTTTGATGCTGCTTTCTTTGTCAAATTCAGAAGATTCAACGTTGCAACCGACCTTAGCCTTCGGGAGCTACTGACCCGCTCCACATACTCACCCAGGAATGAGCTGGATGAGGAAGTCTGGAATTACATCCTAGAAAACCCGCAGAAAGTTCTCCTTATTTTCGATGGAATTGATGAATTTAAATTTAACTCAGAAATCAGCGCGGAAGATAATAGACGTCAATTCACAAACAGCGTAGACGAGAAGATGCCCCTCTCCGCGCTTTATGCCAAACTAACGACTGGAAAACTTCTCAACGGGGCAGCAGTTTTAACTACTACAAGACCTACAGCTTTTTCATGCCTCGACAGTATTCCTTTTGACAAAATTTTCGAGATCCTTGGCTTCTCATCCGAACAAGTCGAAGAATACGTAACCAAATTTGCTGAAGAAGACAAGGAAGCAGGCGACACAGTAAAGCGTCACATCACCAGCAACATCAATATCTTATCTCTATGTTACATTCCTGCGAGCTGCTTCATCATTTGCTCAAGTCTCTTTAAAATGGTGAAGTTCTATACTCCTAGAGGTCTTAACCTACCAACAAGTTTAACAGGCATATACAAGAGAGCCGTGAAAATTTTCTACTTGAGACACAACGAAGAATTTCGCGATGAACATTTCACTCGGAAAGACTTTGAAACAGATGAATTGCCCCGCGAAGAAGAAAAAAAATTGGAGAAACTACAAAAATTGGCATTTAAAGGAATTAAAGAAGGAAGGCTGATCTTTGGAGCAAACGAAGTACGCGGAATGGAGGACAGCGCTCTATTTCACCGCTTACCCGACCGTGAAGTTGACTCGTTTAGTAGCGAAGGACAGTTCTGTTTTATTCATCTCACAATGCAGGAGTTTTTCGCTGCGAAGCACCTAACTAACATGAGTGAAACAGAATTAAAAACCTTTGTTCAAATGAACATTAAGGAAGGCAAATGGCAGCTGGTTTTTCAGTTTGTAGCAGGATTAATGGAGAATAAAAATAACCTACCAAGCGAAATTATCACAGACCTTCTTCCTGTGAAAACTGAAGGAAAAGAACACGAACTCTACAACGTACAGTGGCTAGAGAATCAAGAGAAAACAAAAGTGACCCGCTGGCCGACTATAGACGAACAATATTTAGCAGTGACATTAATGAAATGTTTAAACGAAAATAGTAGAATGAAGTCAGAAGCACAGAGAAAACTTCAACAAATTAACTTTAATTGTGTAAATTTTATTAATTGTCACCTCACAGCTGTTGATTGCTCTTCGTTAGTAAATGTAATTAATATTCAACAAATTTCACATTTAGATTTGAGTCACAATAACATTGGTCCATTAGGCTGTTTGGAGATTTGTAAATTGTTAAAATGTAGGGAATCTCAACTGAGCTGGTTATACCTCACATATAATCAATTGACAGATGAAGCAGCAAAGTATTTAGCTGAAGCCATCAACAACAACAACTGTCAGCTACGCATGTTAAACCTCTCATACAATAAAATCTCAGACATTGGAGCACAGTACTTGGCTGAAGCCATCAGCAACAACAACTGTCAGCTACGCATGTTAAACCTCTTCTTAAATAACATCACAAAAGCAGGTGAGCAAAAGGCACGTAATTTACTAAGCAATAGTCAGTCTAAGTGTAAGCTAATTCTTTAGGCCTCAGCAATTCCAATTAAAAACTAAAAAGAAATTATTAGAACCACTTACTATTCAAAATAACTGTGAGGTAACCAGCTCAGTGATAATTACAGCCCAACAGCTCAAATCGTGAATGAAAGCAAACTTACTCTGTGAAGCGCTCAGAGCAGCGAGATTATTTGAACCGGATCGAAATGAAGAAAAATGAACCAATGAACATGTTTATTGAGAACAAACGATGTCAATCTTTTTTTTTTAAAAAACAAACCAATAACATCGAAGTAAAAAACACAAAGCTTCCCGCAGAGAAAACAATCAAACCTCGGACCTCTCAGGAAACTTTTTCATTTTATGATTGGTTAGTTTCGATCCTAAATTCTCTCCATGCTTCTGTATGTTTTCATCGCTTGGAGTTTTGTGTGAGATTTTAAGCGGATTAGATAAATGTATACATTACAGATTACCTGGTAGAATGCCAGGTTTTCTCTCTTTCATTTCTTGTGTTTTCTACAATTCTTTTTTTGATTTTTTTTCATTTCTCGTGTTCTCTGTCATTTTTTTTTTATTAAAGCGAACCGGTTCAAGTAGTTTCACACTTTGGGCAAAATATTGAAAAAATGAGACCAAATTGTAAATAAAATCATCTTGCTTTCAGACAGAAGGCCTGTTACTTGTTCAATATAATAAATGTTGTAGAGTTTGCATTCAAAATCCGATGAAGCATCAGACTTACCCAGTTGAGATTTTAACTTACCAGTTATTGTTAACCCTTTAACTCCCATGAGTGACCAAGACAGAATTTCTCCTTACAACATCAATACAATATCCACTACATAAGTGATGAGAATAAAGAAAAATATCAATTTGGGGATAATAAGTTGATCCAATACTAATTTCTCTGAACTAACATTATAGGAATTGTATGGTTGACATTTAGGAGAATTACAAATTTGATCTGGGAGTTAGAGGGTTAACAAATGGAGCCAGACTTCCAAATTTGTCAAGACTGTACAATAAATTTTGTAAACCGAATTCAACTTTGTGTTGAGATACATTTGGCCTCAATTGTTAGACATAACTTGAAAGCTATGGCGAAGGGGTGTGGCCTTTTCAATATGAGTCCGAATTTACCAATTTACCAGAGAGACTGCTTCAAGGTGAGGGTATGAGGCAACCCCTAAAAAAAGCTCCATACCCTATCTCAAATTGAATGATTTTCCCCTCCTTCTTTCAACCCATGCCTTGAAACAACAGTAAAATATCTGAGGAAGTGTAGTCACATGTAATCAATGTACCATATATCCTTGAGAAGGTTCCTGGCCAGTTTAAGGACACCTGTTAACCTTTTTTAGAGCAAGATTCATGAAATCAGTGGAACTCAGCACACACAAATAATAGAAAATAAATCAGAGATAAAAAATAAATCCCACAGGCAAAAAGACTGGGAAGAGGAAGCAAGGAAACCTAACAAAGATTTCCACTTGTTGCAGCTACAAAAAAACATGACAAAGGAGACTTCCTCTGGTTTTTTTTTTTTTCCAACACTTTCACATTCCATGATTTTTGCAGGTTTTTAGAATTAAAATGTAACTTTCCACAGTTTTGAAAGAATGCTTTTGATCTGTACAAACTTTTTTGAAAAAGCAGGTGATCAGAATTTGTGTCCAAACACTTTTATTGAACAAATCTTTTAGTCTCTTAAAACCCTCTAACTCTCAAAACTGACAAAGACAGAATTTCTCCTTACAATATCAATACAGTATCAAGCAGACAAGTGATGAGAATAAAAAAACATCCATTAGGGCAATATTAGTTGATCCAATACCAAATTCTTTCAGCTAACATCATAAAACTTGTATGGCAGACAGTAAGGAGAATTACAACTGAGATCTTGGGAGTGAAAATCTCATCAACAGAGATACCTATGCAGAGCAGGGCTACACCCAGTTTCCAATCTATTCCACAGAAAACCTTATTCAAACCTGCTTGAGAAATATCTCTTTTGTTTAGAAATGCCAGGCGATGCCAAAAATTAAATTCATTTTGTAGTGGACAAATTTCCTGAGCCTTTACATACACACATTTTCTTCTAAGAATCAACAACCTGGCAAGTTAAGGTTAAGGAAAGAAAAATTAAGTGGATGATTTGATAGAGGTTAATTGGAAATTTAAAATATTAGCAATCATAAGTTTGAAAAGAAGAAAAATCAACTTTGAGTCCATAAAGCTACATGTAATTAGCTCACAATGTCAATACAGTGATAAAAAATGATGGGAAATAGTCCCTAAAATAACTTGTCTGAATGTTAAAAAATTATACCAAAGTACATTTACAACTGAAAAGTATACTTGTGCAACAAGATCACTACTTTCCAGAATTTCCTTTGGAACAATGACTGGAAGCTGCAGATTTTTTACTCCTTCATCATTCTCCAGACTAACATTGACCTGTTTGTACTTGAATTTTGAAGAATCATGCATTTCTTCCATTTTACAACTGATAGTGGCACTTGTCACAGCAGCCTTTTTAACAATAACATTATAGCCACAATTGTGGCTAAATTTTCTGCTGATAAGTTTTCTGATGATGAGTCAAACTCCAAAAACTGCTGCTCCTGTTGCTGGACAGCTTGTCAGATTTCCTTTTCATGATATGTTTTTCTTTCCTGCATAGAAAAGAGAACAATATCAGTGTTGAGTAACAGTGATTGATGAAGAAAAAGCTACAAACATATACAGTCAAACCTGCATCAAGCAGTCACCTGCAGAGAATTGCAGGGAGACCACTTAAACAGTTTGCACAGAACAGAAGTCAAATGCAGTAAAAAGCACTATTTTATGCCATAATTGATAACTTAATTTAAAGGTTATTCAAAAGCTCGCTAAAAAAATCCATTGCCTCTTTTTTAATACCAGTAAACAGAATCAACAAAATGGTGACATAGCATAAAAAAGAACACTGATGCAGAATTACTGTATACTATTATCTATCAGTTGGACCTCTAGGTCATAATCATAGGCTGATTGACTTGTGTAATGTTTGTGCATAATATTTGTCCCAACAGAATTAGATAATTTGCAATAAGTTGTGCACCTTTGAACTCAAAGTACTATTCCTAGTTTTATTTGAGAGGTTCTGCTTAAGTGATTGTTCAACACATGCAAGTAGAAAACAATAAAAACAGGAAGCTGGGAATCAATCAAGGATGACCATGACCACTTAATAGAGGTGAAAATTACAGTAATAAAGGAGAGAAAAACTGAGAAGTGACTGCTTTATTACAGGGTAACTGTTTAATATGGTGCAGCTTAATACAGGTTCAACTGTATAATGATCACCCATTTCATGATGAAATAGATGTGCTTAACTATGTTTTCTTTTGTAGCACTAATTGCTCAAATAAAGGGGAACGTTTTACAAAACAGTAGAGGAAAATGCATCTTCTTTAACTCCCATGAGTAACCAAGACAGAATTTCTCCTTACAATATCAATACAATATTAACCACATAAGTGATGAGAATAAAGAAAAGTATCAATTTGAGAACAATTATTTGATCCAATACTAAATTCTCTGAACTAACATTATAAGAACTGTATGGTTAAGATTAAGGAGAATTACCAATTTGATCTGGGAGTTAAAGGGTTAATAACCAGTACTTCTGGATGGCTTTAAAGACTTGAGGTTGTTTTTGCAGGAGTAATGGGCAATTCTGTTGAGCTGCTTTTTAAAACAGTGTTATAGCCTCCTCAAGGGGTTTGCCTCATCAAAAAAAATAGTTATTGGTGAAGTTTACACCAAAGGCAGTGGAGACAGCATTGATTACAGCATTACAATTGTCTCTTTGTTTTTAAACCCCTTGAAAATACAGTTCATCTATTTTAAAAGTATTAAATTCTACTTTTTGATTTTGCTTTTGTGCTTGACACTTGGTTGGTGAACATTATTCTAAAGATAGAACAGACACATTCAAGTTTGGAAATGTTTTTCTTTTTGGAATATTGAAATGTTATTTTATTCTTCCAGCCCCCATCCTGTCATTTCCTTTTACAATGAACCTCCCTACCCACTAAAAATTTACAGTACCATTAATAAATAAATGGCATGAATTAAAGAATTCCTTGTAAATTACTGGGTAAATAAAAGAAACAACAGCAAAAATTGCTGTAGTATGCAAAATGTGTTGAGTTGATTCAAAGCCCTCAAGTCTCATGCATTGAGCATGAGACTCACGCAAACAAATTCAATCTTACACTCTCAAGCTAAAGCCAGTATTTCTCACCCCTTTAAGGTTTCATATTAATTTGGTTGAATTTGCGATAGCAAACTGCTATCGCAAATTCTTGTAGGTACTTTCATTAAGTACCTACAAAATTAATTATCCTTCCAAATATAATTTCCTCCTTTATTTATTTATTTATTTATTTAACAGCTTTATTGGGTACGTCTACAAGCTCAAAATGAATACATATACAAGGAAAGAGACAAAAAATGGATAGACATACGCCAAAAGGGTCAGTGCGAACGGGACATGGAGTCCCACGCGGGGCACTACCCTTAATAAAAACAAAAAAAAAAAAAAATGAAAAATGTAAAAACTTACAGTGAAAAAGTGCTAGATAACTAAAAATCAATGACAGGGACACGACCTAACAATTGACCACGTGCACGGATTATTAACATCAAAAACTGAACGGACAAGAGAGAACATGTGTTTTGCTACAAAAGTTTGAAAGGCAGTCGGGTTAGAAAACTTGGACGGGGGTGATAAGGTACAGACGTAGTTCCAGAGTTTAACAGTTTGGTTGAAATAGGAGGCCTGAAAGGTACTTGTTTTACATGAAGGTGTTGTGAGATTGAAGGAATTACTTCGTCTGGTGCGGCCGTGGGAAATAAAAGAAACAAAGTTAAGGATGTTTAGATCCGTGTAGTTATTCAGACATTTGTAAAGAAACAAAGACAGTTTGTTGCTGATCAGTTGTTGAGTATACATATTTTTCAAAAATGATGAATCTCAAAACATCAGAAATGCTTCTAAGAAGCAAAAGCTTTGGTGACACTGAGAAGATTTTCTCCATTGAGAATTTCAATCCAGTAGCCATCAGGATCTTCAACAAAGAGTTCAAGGGTTAAATAGCATCTCATCAAAAAGAAAAGCGCCTTACTGTCATTCAAAAGAAAAAAGACAAACTGCAGTGCAACACAATGCCAGTCATGAGATTTCACTTTCTGGAAAAGTATACAAGAAGGTTTCAGCCAATCAGTGACTTTTGCATTAAGTCTTGGAATAAAAAGGGAGATTTTTGTCCAATATTGCTCCAATTGAAATGTGCAAATGACTCAACAAAGGCTAAATTTAGGTCAGTATAGAAAATTAAGAAACTGACCACCGTAAAGTCCAGTTCTATAGATTGAATCTCCAATTTTGCTGGGCAAAATTTCCGCACAGCCCCATACATCATTATACATCCATATATGGGGCTTTATTTTTCAGTGTATCACCAGTAAGATGTACATGCATAATTAAGTATGGGGCTGTGCGGAAATTTTTCCAATTCTGGAAATTTTAGAACCTTACCCAACAATTTCTTTCTTTTTTTACGTCGGTAATACGAAAGACATTTTCATTATCTCTATGTCTAGCGCCCGACTCGGTGGCCATGTTTGTACCGTTGCACTTATGACCCGTTAATGGAGGTATTCGGTAACACAACTGCTCGTAACCACGAAAATTACCACCAGCTGCTGGTACACTTTATGACACATACACAACATATTGTAATGGCCCATTCATCATGGCGGGAAGAAACGCCGTATTGTTCTGATTTTAGTATATTTTGTAAAAAGCAGCAAGTATATTTCTCGGCGCTGGCATTCATTCTTCCAATGCTCTTTTATTTTCTTGCAATGAGCATATCAGACTTTCCCAGAGAATCGTGATCGCGTGGTATTTATACTATCAGAAGACCCTGTGCAATTTCGAGTGGTAGATCTGAGGAAAATGGTTGTTAGGGCAGTCAAAAAAGATCGTAAAGAAATTTAAGAAAGCAAACTGGATAAACAGTTTGTTTTTCACAAATGCAAACAGTTTTGGGGGTGATGTACTTAAAAGGTTATGCAATTTGTCTATTCTAATCTTACAACCCACAATTTTGTTTCTTTAAAGTGCTAAATTGGATAGCAATGCAGTTGTTAAATGTAAAAATTTAAGCACCCACTGTCAATTTTCCTGTAGATTTGCAGAATATACATGGTGTATTTTCAGGTTGGGAGATCTGAGCCTGGATGGGAGAAAGAAGCATGCAGATCAGTTTGGTGGCCTGAAGAAGTTGAATTCACAGCTGTGAATAATATCAGCAAGCGACCACATCTGTCAGTTTATCAACAGCAAGAATCAGTGCAGACTTCCTGAAGGGTAAAAAGTTCAGTAAAAGTTATTAACTTGAAACCATCATCATCATTATTGTTAACCATCATCATCATTGTTATTGTTACTATTATCATTATTTTCATTTATAAATTTTATTGTATTGGTTGTCATTAACTTCATATTCTATTGCTTTTAGAGATTTTCCAGCTATGTTGACCAGTCTATTTATGAGCTTGGTCTGGAGTCATTCTACTCAAGTGGGGATGGAAACTGCTTCTATAATTCACTATTCATACTCGTGTCTGGACATGAAAGTGACATTGAAATTTTTAGACTGGGTGCAGCAATGTATGGTCTTGCTCACTATGGCCACATTGTTGATGCAGTAAGAACAATCAGTTATTTTTTGTTATGTTTGCTAAGTTTATTAGGATACAATTTTAATGTCCTTGTTTTATGTTTTAAGTGAACTTTAACAGAGGTCAACCTCTGGATCTCCTTTTCAAAGCTGAGACTGAGGCATAATAAATCAATCTTAAATTAATCTTTGAAATTCATTTCTTAGTTCTTTCTTTAGGTGCTTGTTTATGTGGTTGCTTGTTATACAGAAATATGTTAATCCAGCTATTAGAGAAATTTGCTACTTTGATATTCTTGGATTACTTAGCAAGCAATATAAGGTTGGGATTTTTTTCTTTATCCTGTAAACACTAACTGCCATTCATGTCAATTCATTTCTTTTCATCAACTTCATTTGTTTCATTGACTTCTTGCAAAATCCAAAATCCTTTGATCACTTTTGATAATTACACAATGATTTTTTGTGCACATGGTTTTCAATCATATTTGACAACTGTCCAATAAACTAATATTTGTAGTAGTCATCTCAGTGTCGTGTTAACCGTTCCTGTAGTTACTTATAACCCTCTCTTTAGAAGTAACTAAACTGCATTTTGAAGATTATATTCCATTTGCAATATAACTTTAAAACTACTTACTTTGTACTTCTGTCATATTTCTTTTTACAGAATGCAACGCATTTTACTGGTAGAGGCGATGCTCTGCAGTGGGCAGCCAGTGTGAGCCTTTCACCAAACGAGGTTCAGGAAATTAAAGACAAATCCATTCCAGAAATTGTCGCAAAAAGTGTCTAAAGGCAAGTCTTCAATGCCTTAAAGAATTTTACTGATATAGGTAACTAACTTGTGACTTGTTCGTTTTAAGGACTGGCTCACATTCTTTTGAATCAATTCCACATCTTTATCATCTCATTACAACCAGTTATCAGCTCGTTTCTCCAGGCAAGTTGGCATTACAATACTGACATCCGCAGTTTTTTTTAAGAACTCTTGCACGTAACCTTTGCTGCCGGCTTTTTGAAGAAACCGATACAACAGCATTGCGAACTGTCTGGGGCTGTATGGTACAACACAAAACAAAGTCCTCCTTGTTGCTTCCAGCCAGACAGGCCTTTTCACATCATGTGGCTGCCACTTACAGGACAAGGAAACACCTTCAACCATATATGCCCCTTTCTGTCATGGAAGTGTGGTGCACTGCGTGTTTTGGCGAGGATTTAACACCCAACATTCAAGTCGCAATGAGATGGTGCAGTGTCTTACTTGCTTTACGTAGTACCACTGCGTTTGTTTGGGCATACCTTTCGAAGAGGCCAAGGATTCCACCATAGTGGATTATGGCTGCACGTTGCCCCACCCATATCGGAGCCACGACATGTGAGTGTACAGTGGAATCCCTATTTTTCGAACCTCTTGATAACTCGAACCCTTGAAATTCTGTTTCCCTTCCCTCAGTCGAACACTGTAACTTTACCCCGATTCCTAAAGCTACCTTATTATTTGAACAAAGTTTTGTTTATCTTGAATGTTCCATAAAATCTTGATTCCAATGTACTTTCTCTGCCGCTTTTTTGTTTTGGCTCGTTTATAATGTTTTTAAACGTAGCGTACTGTTCATTTTATCTGTTATATTTTGTAGATCGGTGTACTCAAACTAAGGTAGCATTCTACGGTTTCTAACGAAGGCGTATTTGAAGGTTTGTACGTCAAAGATACACTTGTTATAAAGATTTTATGAAATCTAAATTAAAGGTTAAAGTTTCCATTGCTTCCTTTCATTTTCAGACATTAACAACAGAACTCCTAATTAACAAAAGTACACCTTCATTAAGGCTACCACTGAACACCGAACATCGTCTTTTATCGCACCGAGACTTGATGAGGTTGGCAGCAACTGTACCCTTGGAGGACACGCGGTAATTCCCTTTGTAGATTTAAAAATATCTTAACAAAAAGCATTGCGATACTTAGAATCGATTGTAGGACATGACAATTACTGATTGTGTGCAGGGACAAGTTGCTTTGCGACGTAATTTCGTTTTTTCAATGTTCTTTAAAATATGATTGTTTAAATGCCATTATTCCGCATAACGCACAAAAAAAAAGCAAAACAATATGCTCGCACGGCCTTAGTTTAGTTTAGTTTCGCGATTTTTGGCTATCATGGTACACAACATGCAGGGTGTTTAAAACTAACAAAAAAGTAAAGCGACCTTTGCGTTTTTTTATCTAGTTCCTATTGACATTATGATCCTTTCGTTTTCAAACAAACAGGTTGATACTACGGCCGAGCGCATGACAGCAGTTACAATGCCTATCATTGCTTCACTTACGAAAGACCTACAGACCCGGCTCTTTATGGATGTGATGCTCCCAGAATAATTGCATTTGAAATTGTTTCTAGAACGGCACGGCTTATGGTTAAGTATCTCAAGACTTATCGTATTTTAATCTTTCAATTATTTACCGCGACTTTTCCAGCTTAAAAAAGGAGTTTTTGATGACAAGCCTCATCTGTGACGGTCACCTCCAAACTTGCTAGTGTTTTACATGTAACTTTTTGGGTTGACAGGTTTCTAGTATGCTATATTTCCAGAGGGTGTACACTGCAAACAGTTTTTTATTTAGGAAGTTATCTTAAACCACAATTGCCTAAAAAGTTAATGCTTTTTCTTCTTATCTTTCAGACCATAATCAAGTTCATCATGGAAAAAGAGGATCTCAGTTATTTTAGAGCTTCAATTTTCTGTCAAAGTAGTCGTGTTTCGGTAGCAACTTCATAGATAGTTTTAGGCTCACTTTGCCAAACATAATTGTCGGTTTTATTACATCATCATGACACACCACATATCAAACTGGCGAAAGTTTTGATCTAGGTGCTTCAGGAAATTGAATCCAGTCCGCTCTTAACTTCGCGTATTTTATCGTGTACTTTCTTATGTTTGATACAAATAGTGCGGTGGTTTGGTTATTTAAAACCCTCAATAACAGGAATAAATTTAAAGAAAACAATACAGTAGTTGGTGGTTATACGTCTTAAGTTATTCAAAATGAAATAATTATTAGGTGCTACACCAGGTCACTTCTCTAAACCAATGAGAAAAATTCCTCGTCTTCAAACTTCCGATACGATGAACCTTTTCTATGCAGCCTTGTTTCCTTAATGCGGTAAATCTATCCATCATAAGCATTTGTACCAAAACTGGAAGGGTATTTAAACGAAACCGCAACACAAAAAAGGCTCAACTCATTTGATAAATATTTTTAAATTACTCGAAATAACCCTAAATGATTACGTTACGCGAACAAAACAGTTGAAACTTTATCTGACTTAAGAAAATCGTTTACATTGCAATGGAACAGCCTTGTAGTCAGTCAAGTGTTACTAATATCTTGATAAGAAAGGGAAACAAAAGGCAAGAAACTATTTTCTATCATTTAGTCTTGTTAATATATATATATATATTTAGGCAAGTCTAAAAGCGGAGCCCCACAGTTATGAATTGTTTACTGCACTTAAGAATATTTTTTCCATTCTGGTAAATAAGCGGCTAAAATATTAAAAGTACAGTTTCTAGTGGATCATCAGTGTTGAATTAAAATCGCCTACGGCCAAACTAAATACCTTTGTGACACTGCAAAATCTGCTCACGGCACCTCAAATGATCTCAAGACGCAGTAAGATAAATTCCCGATGAAATAAAATGAACTCAAGGTGTCCAAAATTAGCTCACGGCCACAACAATAAACAAAACACGGAAAAATCAAAGCAAAACAGAGAGTAGAAACCATTCTTGAAACTATAAGAAATCAAATCATTTCTACGCGGCGCGAGAAAATGCCGAAATGTGAAAATAAACAAAAACAAGAGAACAATTACTTTATGAGATGAAGCCTCAAATCCCCAACTAACGGTCGCCAAATGAAACAAATTTAAAAGAAACTTCAAAATGATTAATTTTCATTCAAGATGCAGACAAGAAAGGTATTGAAAAGGGCGGAGATGTTCGAAATAAAACAAGACAGGCCGTTTTGCATTGGCCGGCCTGTTCAAATTAATTTAAATACACACTGTATTACCACGCTAAAAACCAAAGTTGTTAATAAATTTGGACTCGAGCTGCTTACGCCGTAGCGAATTTCGATACCAAATGAAAAATATACAATGAGTCATGAAGTTCTTTTCGTTTATGTATGACAAGAATCCTTTGAAAGACTTCAAGCTTGAATAGGCTTGTTCTGCTGCCTGACTGTTTAAGGTGTCCCACTGAGGGTAACGGGAGAGGTTGTAAGCCTCAGAGCAACCTGAAAAAGAAAAAAAGCATGTTCGATTGCTTTGCATTGGTACTGACAAAGTTAAGATTAAAATATTACGTCGAATGTGCTTCAATAAATGTGTGTAATGTGCCATTAGGTTAGTAAGAGGGGATAGACCCGAGAGCATAGCTAAATGAACACCGAAGATTAAAGATGGCCAAACCGAAAAAGCCAGTTTTGGGGTGATTTACGTACCTGTATGATCCCGCCAATGCAATCGATCCACAAGGAACTGAGAGTTCTTGAAAAAGACAGGATCCCGATTTAAACAATACGAATGCAAATTGCAAGAGTTGTCGTAGATAACCAGACGGGCACCTGTCAAAAAAAAAGGCAGAAAAATTGTAATGAACCTACATTTATTATGACTCGTTTAATATAAAATCACTCTGACAGAGGAAATCAAGAGAAAAAAAAAACTCCCAAAAAACCAGGCCCTGGTTGTTCAACGGGTGAAAAAAGGTGTCCACAGAATGAATCTCTATTAACCTTTAAGTGTTGTGATAACATACAGCGCTATCCAGTGGATAGTGATTTTTCCGCTGGATAGCGTTATCCATCCTTTAAACTGGGCCAAGGTAATAAAAAGAAATTTTCTTCACGCACAACGGCATCCAATCAAAGGCCACAACATACACATGCACATTAAATTGAGCTTACCTTGTGGGAAACGCATTCGAAACACTGTAAATGGGATGTTAGGAGATTCGTTGCAAAGCATAACACTAAATCCATAAGTTATACCTAAAATGGAAATCAAAAGAGAGGATATAAAACCGTTTTACACATAATCACAGCAACACTGCGTACACTGAGTGCCTGAAAGCATGTTGTGTAAGAACATGTAATAAAGGCTGAAGAGAGGGTGTAACTGGGGTACATCACTAGTCAATAGAAATCAACAACCTTTATTTATACAAGTCGTTATGCCATTTAGCCAATTAATTGTGAGAAAAACTTTGATTTAGTCAGTAAACAGCGAAAAAAAACAAACAAACCAAAACAGGTAAGTCAGTTAATTTGTGCCATTTTTTGACTTCACAGCTGCAAATGTTATCCTTTGAAAACTAAGCGTTACAAACAGTTTTGGTCTTTCAAGGAAATGACATTTGCTGAGAAAAATCTAAACCTGATAACTAAAACCACAGGCAGAGCGTAAACCTGGAGCTTGTCAGGATAATCTGGAATATATAAAGGGTAACAATAGCTAGTTGGGGGTCAGAGTGAACTCAAATTTACATTTTTTATATCAGAAGTAATGTTGTTCGTCGTAGAAATTAATACAAATATTAATACAAACTCATAACATTATTGTACCGTGTTTACAGTGCACTAAGAAAACTCCAGGAAGTAAGGATGGGTGTCGAGTACTCCTCTTTGCGCAGATGTTTGGAGTTGTGTCATCCAGGCAATAGTCACCACGACTTCTTACCACAGGCAGGCAAGGATAGTATTCTACATCATTTGTGTGGTGTACTCCAGTTGCACAGCATCTGGTATCAATCCATTTGAACGGAGACTTTGCATTTTCCAACAGGTCAATAATAAATGCAGTCAAGGCCTCAGGAAGGTGATCTCCCTCCACAATGCTAACTATGTCCAACACGAGTGGAAAAGTTTGCTGGAGCAGAAGCATGTCTTCTGGACACTGCTTGATTGGTTCATTGCCAATGAGTCTGCGGTAAAATGTTTCCAAGGAGTCCCATTGGGACTTCGTAGTAAGCACGACAATGTATACAAAGGTCACACCCTTCCTCCAGTGCATAGGAATTACTTTATCGTGCCAACCGAACAAGGAAACGAGGACAGTTTGCAACACTCAGCTGATTTGGCTGTGGAGGAAGCTGACGAATCTGGAAATTTAGCGACTGTTCATGAAACGGGCATCGATCCAAATGAATTGGATGACCAGATGAAAACACATGCTTGTTTGTTTCTTGAACAGTAAGTAATAGTTTGCCGGGTGGGGGGAGGGAGGGGCATGTTGGTTGAATGATTTACGAGTGAGATTGTTTGTTGTTGTTTTTTTTAACATGAGAGAGAAATACGGACAACCTAAAAGTGCTCTTAAATCTGTTATGAGCTATACTACGCAAATCTGCCAGGACAGTGTGTTGTTAGCTGGCCAAAGAGTCAAGAGGAAATTGGAAAACAGAGTTGATATTAGTGACTGTTTGGACTTAAGTGATTTCCCCCCATTTAAACACTGCCACAGCGATTGGCCAAGAAATCAATTTATCAACCAACATTTCAACGTTGTGGTATGTACTTTTGAGGATTAATTAACAGTAATTAATAGTTAGCACTCTCTGCTTGCCTCCCAAACATTCAGCAAACTGTTTGTTTTTGAAACCTTAGTTGCTTGAAAAAAAGTAATGGTCATTCTGTTTATTTTTTATTCATGTATTTTCCACATCCAAGGGTACTCTCACTGATATATAGGCCATTAAATACAAAGTATGATTGAGAACTATTAAAAATGGAGAACAAGAAACTGAAGGGAGACAGTTTTGGAAAAAAATATGAAAGAACGAGCATTGAAATGTGACGAGTTTCTCAGTCCTAGAAATATAAATGACCTTGAATGATTTTCATTATCTACTTTGTTGTAGCAACCAGTACAGAGGACTCTTGGAACAACACTTTCAAGGACCGGAAGACATGGCAGAAAAAAGAATGATCAGTTGTTCCAGAAGCACACCTATTGTTTTATTCCTCTCATTAAGAACTTGGAAGCTTTATTGTCCGATAAGGAGTTGAGAAAAGCACTGTTACAGTCTAACTGTAAGCGAGCTGATAGCAAACTGGAATTTCTTCAGGATGGTGTAGCCTTATCCAATCACCCTCTCTTTGCTACTGATTGAAACACATTAGAACTTATCCTGTATAGTGATGAAATAGAACTGTGTAATGCTGTAAGCACTAGATTAAAGAAACACAAGCTGTAAGCACTAGATTAAAGAAACACAAGCTTTCATTGTTTTACTACTTGGTAAGTAATTTGCTCAAGAAATATTGCAGTGTTCTTGATACCATCAATCTTTTTGCAGTGGTGAAGTCTGAGGATATTGCTACCTATGGGTTTGACATCATTCTTGAACCCTCCCTGAATGACTTGAAGCAACTCAGTGTGCCAGATGGGTATCCAATTGATTTGAAGGATGGTGAGACAATACGTATAAGAGCATCTTTGGTGGCGTATGTAGCAGATAATCCAGCTGCTCACCAAGCCATTGGTTTGAAGGAATCAGTGGGTGGTGCACTCAGAAAGTGCAGGTTTTGTAATGCTGATAATAATACCATGCAAAATGGATTCAGAGAGGACGATTTGAGGCACGAACACTCAAGAAGCATTTAGAGCAATGTAGTGTGATCAGTGGAGCCACTCAGACCCTTAAGGACCACTACAGAACCAGTTACGTTATCAACAGGAAAAGTATGTTATGCATGTTTCTTAGAGGGAGTTCAACCCCTAACATTACAAGCTCTTATAGAACATTATATTGACACTAAAGTAACCAATCTTGCAACAATAAACAGTGCCATTCAAAGTTTCCCATATAGTTACATGGAAGTAACTGACAAGCCCAACCGTGAAAAAGATCTCCATGGTTCCACAACTCTGAATCAAGATGCAGCAAAATGTTATTTACTCTTTCGCATTTTCCGTTTGTTGTTGGAGACAGTATTAACTT